ATCAATGAAATGTGTTCAAGTAAAGCAAACAGTGTACCTATTTTTGCTGCGCCTGTTCTGGATCTGTCCTGTGATGTTTGGAAAGCCTGATCTGGATTCATTATGATGAATATTGACTGTGTGCTGGGATAATGTGACTGTTCACATCAACAATAACAGAAAGGGCTTCATCAGGAAGGTAACATATCCACAAAGCCAAAGGTCGCCACTCCAACCCTTCATTTATAACGTTTAACATGAACATCTGTCTATGATGTTTCAGGGACTCTTTGATCAAACATGTCCATGCTGATTGTCCTCAGCATTACTGTTTTACTGCTGCTTCATTTCTGGAAGTGAAACTTCAGATCTGAGTGGTTTTCTGATAAAGTTCACTTTAGCCTCTCATGTTTGACAGCTGGAGTGTTGTTTATGGTAAAGTGTCAGCAGTCTGTGGTCTCAGTGAGCACTGAGCTTGGTTTGCTGCTGTTCAAAATGAGAGCTGAATGATCAGAGACTCCCAGCAGTGATCCTGAGTCCTGACATGACAGAAAGGGGGGCAGGAACGGCAGTAAGGAGCTAGGAAAAAAGAAGAGCGGTGACAGAAGCACGCCACAGTGAAGATCACATCGTCATATCAGAGTGCTGTGATTGGAGGATCACAGTCTGAGCCTGAAACATAACAGGAATGAACTTCTGTGATCCAATCAGAGGAACAGATCAAACCACGATGGTGGCATCTTTGTCCCACACCGTTGACAGACTGAAGATAAGAGCGTCATAGATGAAGATGGTCTGCTGCAGAGTGAAGAGCTCTCATGTGATCATCAGCTGTGTGAACCAGGAAGCGACAGACGAGGGGCGGAGTCAGAGGGGCGTATGTTGGAGCATAAATATATCTGATAAGGAACAAAGATAAAGATCTGACATTTTCTCTGCTCTCAGCATCAAAGTGAATGCGGAGCTGTAATGTGAGAGACATTAAAACATATCAGAGGCATATTCATAAAAAATCCACATTCGTGATAATTCAATGAGCTACAATTCATTAATATTCCCAAATAAAACATGAAGGATATGCACAAATATGTACACACATGCACTTATTTACCAAGATTATTTTCAGAGTCAGAGTGTCATCTGGAATCTGGGATCAGACTATGTGCTGATGATCTCTGTGGTACAGATGGTCATATTTGCTCCATCCAACAAAGTAACAAAGTATCCGAGTAAACAAAGTATTCTTTATTTTTGCACCACTGAGAAATATAAATATTTCAAAATGATTTCACTAGGTATCTTCTACAGTATGAAGTTTTTTATTAGTGCGTTTGCTCACACCTGGGACTTTGCAAGAGTGCTGGACGCTTTCAGTACTCCAACATTTTTCATGCATCTGTCCCAAAGGATACATTTAATAATTGAAAATTTCAGGCTTTCATGGTTAATATTTCTGTCCTGGTTCACAGGCTGATGCTAACGGACCGATAGAGAATCATCAGAGACTTACCGCAGTGACACCGAGACCTGGTTTCCTGAAGACTGCTGAGGTCGACCGCAGTCTTTCGAGTCCTCCAAGTCCTATGATCCACACCTGCTTGTAATCTTGTTGTCTTAAACGGGGGGTGGCTGCCTCGTGTCTCCGTGTGCTTCGCTGAACTATGGAACTGCTGTGACATGAACTCTGACTGTGATGTCTGAGATAAACTCACATGAGCATTCCTCAGCATAGAGGCCAGCATGAAAAATGACTCACAGTCTGGTGGAGAAAAATCAGCAGAGTGAAGAAAACAAAGTGTCTAACAGGACCGAGACACCCAGTCAGCATGAGAGGAGGGAATCAGTGGAATCACTGAAACATGTATGAGAAAATGAAACAGTCCTACCACACAGAAGTCAACAATCAACATCAACCAGAGTTCGTTTATGTTGATTGTTGACTGTTGACTCTGAGTTTGTGGAAGCTGTTTACTGGAGCAGGGCTCTGATCTCCTCCTCTGTTCTCCTCATCTGACTCTGATTAAATCACTCTCCTTCAGGATGTGTCTGGACCTGAAACACGACTGTTCTCCGGCCCACAGATCCTGAGCTGACACAGTGAGGAGCCCTGAGAGGATGAATGTATCCCACTTGGGTGGCATCCACACCACCCACAGAGCTCCGTGAGTCCGATCCACTGAGATGCCTCTCTGACACAGTAATGGCGGTCTGCCTGTCTCACCTCTCAGTGTGCAGTCAGGGACGCTCTGTGACTGGTGAGTTTTAACTGTAGTTCCTCTCAATGAAATGGTAAATGGACCGATTCTTAAATAGAGCTTTTCTACTTTCACGGGCAGTGTTGGTCAAGTTACTTGAAAAAAGTAATCAGTAACTAATCACTGATTACTGCCCCAAAAGTAATCCCATTACTTTACTGATTACTTGCTTTCAAAAGTACTTAGTTACTTTTTAAAAACGTAATTTACAACCTGAATAGGTAATAAAGCAGTGCAAACATACTGTTACAAATACTGTTATAAATTAAGCTTAAATAGACATGAAAATAAAAATGAGAATAAGAATTAAAAGTGCTAAGTAGATAGATAGATATATACATGATATATACATGAGTGCAAGTGGTGATCAGCAGCAGCAGTAGTACCTGTGGTGCTGTTAGCACTGTGTGAAGTACTGGTACTGAGTACTAGTAGTGGTATAATAAGTATTTGTTAGCATCTTGGTGGGTCAGAGGCAAACAGGTGAGGTCAGGTGAGTCTGTGGCAGCTCTGTGTGCACTTCTGTTCCACTTCCTGTCTCACACACACACAGAGATGTGTGTGTGTGTGTGTGTGTGTGTGTGTGTGTGTGTGTGTGTGTGTGTGTGTGTGAAGCTTCATTTTCTCAGGACAAGGCAGGAAGTGCCCCAGGTGCAGCTGAATGAGCACTTCCTGTTGGGAGACGTCAGTTTCCTGCAAAGGACGGCGTGCAGCTGGACGATAAAATCACAATAATAAACAAAAAACATCCGAGACAGCCTGAGGCGACCTCGCACAGCATCAGCATCATCATCATGACTAAAATTATTATTGTTATTGTTGTTCTTATTAATCATAGTAGTAAAGTATTTTTATTATCATCTTATTTTAATTGTCATTTTATTTATTCTGTTTTCTGTGTTTGTTTTATTTATTTTTAAAGTTCCTGAATATTTATATTTATTTTGTGTTTTTCTCGTGATTTTATTGACTTTTTGTCAGTTATTTTTTATTTATTCGTTTTACTTTACGTTATTTGATTCATTATACATTTATAAATAATTATTTTTCTATTATTTCTTTATTGTTATCTGTTTTATGTTTTTAAATGTTTTACTTCTTCTTCTTTCTGTAAATATTTGTATTTATTTTCATGATGACTGATGATTATTGATCATTGATTATTGGGGGCATGACCTTCCTGCTGCCGTCTATGGCTACAGTTAATTGGCTGTGTTTGGTCAAACTGCTGCTGCTGACATGAGCAGTGTGCTGCAGGTCAAAGGTCAGACAGGGCTCGCTGAGCTCCTGTGGTCAAACTGAGCCCTGGAATCTGGATACTTGAAGACCTCGGCCTGTTGCCACAGTGACCAGCAGGCCCGGGAGCCCCCCCTTCCTCCTCCTCGTCTGTGGGAATCCTCGGTGTTTGTTCCTCTGAGGGAGCGGAGGAAGACGAGGAGGAGGAAGCCCACTATTTTTATGAATAAAGTTTGTGGATTCAAATACTCAGCTGTGTTCATTGTTTGGCTTCCTGTTTGTAGAGTTTACACTCAAACCTGCCTCAGATGCCTTTAACACCACAGGACACCAGGGCCTGTGGTTTTATTTTAAAATCCTTCACTTTTAAAGCTGCAACAGTGTTAGCTCCTTCACAATAACAGCCTGAATGTCTGAAGCTCCGTTTTGGTGAAGTTCTTGGACTTTATTTGGATGTGTCTGAGTACAGCTCAGAGTCTATGAGTGACAGCCATCTTTAAAATACAGTCTGGACTTTACTTTGAAATTCTGACCCACATCACTCCACACTGTGGTTCACACAGAACCTGGTTTAATTTGATGTTTTTCAACTCAGTCCTGAAAAAGTTGTGAAATGTTTCAAACATGAATAACAGAGAACATTTTATTCACATTAGAACAAAGAAAACTGAGCTTATTTTGAACTTGGTGGCTGAAAAATGTCTCAGAAAGTTGTAACCAGGCAACATAAACTTGTAAAAGTAGGTGGGACGAAGGAGAAACAGCTGTAGAAACATTTAGCAGCTGAAAAGGTTATTTGGTAGCAGGTCCATACTGTGATTGGGTATAAGAAGAGCATCTTATATAGAACAGTTTCAGTTTCATCATCTGTAGAATGTCATTTCATCCACAGACAGAAAATCTGGAGGAATCTCTGTGTGCAGGGATCAGTGTTAGATGCTGCTGATGGTGCTGACAGCTGGCACATCTGGAAAGGCTAGTGCTGACAGGAGTGAACAGGTTTTAGAGAAACACCTGCTGCGTGCAGTCGTGTTTATCAGGGAAGGCCTTCAGGTTTGAGCCAACACAGCAGAGGGGGGACTGCTGAGAGGTTCGAAGCCCACAGGCCTCTGTGACTGATGGTCCAAGCTACAGATGCCTGTGGGCTTTATTAATGAGGTTCATTTAACATGTGAAAATAAAAGACGAATAAATATGCGGTAAATTATTGATGATAATGATAGAATACAATCATATCTATTTTATTTTTTAATATTACCATGTAGTTCTTGGATAGTATTCAATTTTAAACATGTTTTATGAAATTTAACCTCACTTTTAATAAAAACAAGATTGTTATGCATTTATTTGTAATGAATTTATTTATTTTGTTATATTTTATTTGACCAGTTTTAATAGTGGATGTTTTATTTCTTCCTGATGCTTATTTCTGCAGCGGCTGTCACGTTTAGCCAGACTCGGTTTAAAAAATGTACTATTTAAGTTTAGTGGCGTTCCTTCTTCCTTTCCTCCGTTCCTCTTTGTTTTTGGCGCTTTCTCTCACGCCTACGCAGTTTCATTGTTCCGCAGCTGAAGCTGTAATAAATCACGCAGAGTGGGGCTGCCTCTGTGGGCGTTTCTTCTTCTCTCATTTAAACCGCAGTGTGGGGGGACCCGGGGAGACCGCCTGCGACCCTCTGCCGGACTCTGTGCCCTCTGACCCGCCGTGGATCCGGACTGATCCGGACCGAGCCGCCCTTCTTGTGCTGTAAGTTGTGCAGCGTTCAGGCTGATGTCTGCTCCAGGGTCCGCTGGGAAAAGAGATGTTTTTACAGGTTAGGGATACAGGTAAAAGCTGTTTATAGCATCAGGTGTGACTCAGAGATGAACGGGCAATGAAGCAGAGCGGACTCTGCGCCGACAGGAAGCCTGTCATCAGTCTTCTTAAATATCACTACTTTACTTTTCACCATCGAGCAAACAATTCTTAAATCAGGCGTTTTTTTAAATGGAGTTCGTTATTGCTCCAGTCTCTGCTCCACTAAAGCTGATCGGAAAAGCTTATTTCTGCAGCGGCTTAGCCAGACTCTGTTTAAAAAATGTCCTATTTAAGTTTAGTTGTGCGGGCACGTGCACGGTCTCATGCATGCGGACGGCTGAAAGTTCCCACGAGCCGCTGGAGTCGCGCAGTGCCTTCGGCACGCAGCTTGTCCGTTTGCGAACACTCGTGTTTGCATTAGGCAGTTTGTGTTTACCAGCAAACTTTACTTAGCGGACGTTTTAACGCATTTTTAACCCGCAGTACTCAGTCAGCTCAGCGCGCGTGCACACAGGTAGCTAACGTGTCAAATCAAATCAAATCACTTTTATTGTCACATCGCATGTGCAGGCACACTGGCACAGCACATGCGAGTGAAATTCTTGTGTGCACGCGCCAAAATGAGCTGTTTTTGTAGCGTGCACGTGCCTGCAGGTGAGATGATTTCAGCGCGCAGGCACGTGAACTGTCGTGGATCTTAGTGAGATCTGCGCCTGCAGTAGGAAGATCCGGGGATTAAAGGGTTAAAGAGTGGGTCCGTGCAGAGCTGTGTCCATGGCGCCTGAGCCGAGTTACAAAGGGGGCGGTGCGAGCGCTCAGGCCTCACACTTCATGCTGAAATGCCTCAAACTCCAAACGAACCGTAGGGGATTTTTGAACGGACTCTGGCTCTGAGGGCGCTGAGGCCAATTTATGGCCCTCTGACTGGTGGCTCACCCTGCGTTCAGGGACCTGGATTTCCTTTGAATGGAGCTCCGTGCTGACTGTATGTATGAGGACTCAGCACGAGCCCGGCAGGTAAACACAGGTGTGACCCACGTTGCTTTATTACACAGACACGCTGTCACTTATTACAGATGTAACAGTGTGTCTGTGGCTGGAGGTTCATCCAGATGTTTCAAACAGCTGCGCTGAGCCTTTTTGGCTTCCACTCTTTTAAAGCATCAAAGCTGGTGCTTACTGTATGCACACCTGTGTGTAAGTCACATGATAAAGAGCTCATATTTACTGTAATGCATTAAAGCCTACTGAGGCCCGCTGTCTTCATTATAATTATCAGCTGTGTGTGTGTGTGTGTGTGTGTGGGTGGGTGGACTGGTGCTGAGCTCAGCTCTTAGATGCTTTTTTTTTGGTAAAATCTGAGACTTTCTGTCTAAAAGACACCGGTTAGAGTTTTATTGGCGAGCTAATTGACTCTTTGTCACAGCGCTGCAGTAAAATTTGATTTTGAAGGTCATGACCTTTCAGTCTAAAGCACCCTACAGAGTTTTTATGTGCAGCAGCAATAAAACCTCCTCCTTTTCATCCTCCGTCTGCTGTCTGAGGGCTCAGTTTTCTTCTTCTTCTCTGGTTTTAATGTTCTCAAAACAAACGTGGACTCATAAAGATCAGTTTTAATCTTAAAATATGCTCTGAATCCACAGGAAGAATTATTCATAGTAATGTTGATCTGATTAAAATGAACTAAAATGAGAAAGTAAAGCTTTCGATGTTATGATGTAGGAGTTTTAGAGGCAGAAGAATGAGACGTTTAAGACCATTTATTCATAATGACTTTTTAACTAATAAAATATGACAGGTTTTTGATTTTCACTAACATTTTGTCAGGAATAAGCTGATATCTTATAGGTTTTATTCCCTCCCAAACATCCAAAAGTCAAAGAACCCTTAAATCTGAGAATTTTTTAATGGAGTTTGGTGAGTTTCACTCGCAGCAGAAGAACAGATTATTGATGCAAATAATCAGCACGTGTCTTGTTTCCAATATTAGTCTTTTATTATTTCCTGTGTTAAATCTGTGTTCACTGCCAAATCAAACTTATCGATCTTCAGTTAGTGATTTTGCACCTGATGAATTTCCTGAGGGTTAAAACAGGAAGACGTGGTTATCTTTTTTCTGCTCAAGCGGGAGCAGGAAAAAGAACGCAGCAGTAAAACCTTCAGACCTCTCAGCTCATTCACATGTTATTGATCACACACTGACGTTATTGTTGGTTCAGTCACTTCAATTTGTTAATGAAGTCTGGATGTTTGACCTGCTCTGACTTCCGTCTGTCTGTCCAGCTGCTGGTGTTCTCGTTGTGTGGTCGAGTTGACGGAGAGCCACAGTTTGTGAGCAGGAGTCCTGAACCTGCTCGTAATCAATACGCCTGATACGACCTCCCGTTCAGCTTTGTCCGCTTTAATCTTTATTTGGGAGCGCAAAGAAAATTCTTAAATTAAAGAATCTTTGAATGGAGTTTGGTGGGAAACACTGCTCTTATAAACAAGCCTGAGGTCCGTGGGCTGAATGGACATCAATATTTTAATTTGAAATTTGAATACTTTCAGAAAACTTTACTTTCACATAGTCAAATACACAGTTTTTACATTTTATGAATTATGTTGTTTGGGGGTTTATTTATTCATTATGACATTTTCATATTATTTATTATTATTTTTATTATGTGAAATTTATTCAGTGCATTAATTTAAATGTATTTTTATCAAAAATACATCTTTGTTTTTTATTTAATATTTCTGACTTTCCCTGTTTTCCAGGTGTAACCTCGTCGCCATGAGTCTGAGTGCTAACGACCTCTCTGAGCTCATTGAGCTGTGGGAGGAGCTGAACCTGACCTCCGCTGACCATAACCTGTCCCACGTGGAGGCGCTGAGGTGTTCGGGCACCGTCAACCAAACCGCCTTCCTTCACACCCTCTCCGTCCTCTACATCTTCATCTTCCTGGTGGGCCTCGCCGCCAATGCCCTGGTGGTCTGGGTCAACCTGCGATCCGACAGGAACCGCTATGAGACACACCTGTACATCCTGAACCTGGCCATAGCTGACCTGTGCGTCGTGGCCACGCTGCCGATCTGGGTGACCTCATTGCTGAAGGGCGGTCAGTGGCCGTTTGGAGAATCCGTCTGTAAACTTACTCACCTGGTCTTCAGCGTTAACCTCTTCAGCAGCATCTTCTTCCTTGCCTGCATGAGTGTCGACCGCTACTTGTCCGTCACGCTGTTTGGCGACACCCCCGACAGCCGCAGGAAGAAGGTGGTGCGCCGGCTGATCTGTGTTCTGGTTTGGATGATGGCGCTGGTGGCCTCCATCCCAGACACCTACTTCCTGCAGGCGGTGAAGTCAGCGCACTATGATGGCGCCATCTGCCGTCCAGTGTACCCGCCCAGCAACCCGAAGGAGTGGATGGTGGGCATCCAGCTGAGCTTCTTTGCGCTCGGCTTCGCCATCCCCTTCCCTGTCATCACCATCTTCTACCTACTCCTGGCAACGGCCATCCCTCCCACCTCAGACCAGGAGCGGCGCGTCAGCCGGCGGATCATCCTCACGTACATTGTAGTCTTCTTGGTGTGCTGGCTGCCATTCCACACTGTCCTCCTGCTGGACACCCTGTCCCTGCTGAATCTCCTGCCCTTCAGCTGCCGGCTGGAGAACTTCCTGTACGTGTCGCTGCACCTAACACAGTGCTTCTCGCTGGTCCATTGCTGTGTCAACCCCATCCTGTACAACTCCCTGAACAGGAACTACCGCTATGACCTCATGAAGGCCTTCATCTTCAAGTACTCCACCAAGACCGGGCTCACCAGGCTCATCGATGCCTCGCATGTCTCAGAAACCGAGTATTCAGCAATGACCACGGACAGCCCGATGTGAACTTCAGAGCCCTCCAGGACTCATTCAAAGACTTGTAAATAACTTCCACCTACCCCTGTTGGTGGCACACCTAACTTCATCCAGAGGAACTACTACAGCAACGACGAGTATGCCTTCAGACCTGCACCAGGTTAGGGTGTACGTGCTTTAGCAGTTTTAATGGACTGGGCTGGCTCAACTCGTTCAGGACCTGCAGTCGGTTCCTCCATCTGCTAGTGCTAGCTGCAGTCGTTTCCAGCTTGAGCCAGGTGAACCGCACCAGCTGTGATTCCTGGATGGGTTATTGACCTAATGGCCAATGTCCTGATGTCTCTTGGGAATGCTTTTTGCGTCATTAGAAGCTTTTTAGGACTCGGGAATGCATCCTAACACCTATCTGACACGTCGTATGTTATTGGATCGACTGGTGACAGAAAGACGTTCTGGCCATCAGGTAATCATTTGTATCTATAAAAAAAGACTTTTCTTCATGCTCTGCTGTTTCTAAGTAATCAAAACAAAGACAGCACAAAGGTTTGTGGACAGCATGACTAAACGTGTCAGCGCTGCTCCGATCAGCTGCTTTAACTCACTGAGGTTTCACCTGTTTCTGACACACTCTGTGTATTAAATACTCCAACATAATGCACTGAATGTGAAAGCCATGTCCTCCTAGATGTATTATAACTCTCTTACATAGAAAATGAATGAAGGCTCAAACATCAGCAGGTCAGTGTCAGGAACAGCTACTCGCTGAGCCTGGCTCAGATCCTTCACCACCTAACCGAAGTTCACAGGTCAGAGGAACACTGGATTATGTAGAGTGAGCATCCACAAACCTTCAGTCATGTAGTTGTTTGTCCTGACAGTCAGAGCTGAGGGCTGAAACTCGCCTGAGAGATGACCTGAAGAACCTGAAACTCACAGGATCACCTGAAGGCAGTAAAAAAAAAAGTTGTTTTTTTCCACTTTATATGAATTGGAGGTGGAAACATGATGGAGAAAAACATTTTTCACCTTCAGAGACGACCCTGAAATCTGTGGACGCGTTACTGTCCAACAAGCTGGAAACTATTAACAGGAAATTCTGGGTTCAAACTGGCGAATGACGCACAAACATCACATTAACAACAAAATATTAGGAAGAACTTTCTGTCTCTGGCAGAAATTCTTGTTTTCTGTAATGTTTTTGCCAAATATCCACATGCTCTTTCCAGGAAACTTTATTTTGAAACTCAGAAAGAAACAAAGGGGTTTTCTTTTTTGTTCATTATCAGCATATTTAATCTGTCTGCTGTCAGGTTACCAGACTGTGATGATGTGCTTCATTTCTGTATTACAGCTCCTGCACTAGAACCAAACTGTGTAAAAAAAGCTCCTGTTTCCTGTATGATCTCCTGCTCGTTCCTGCTTGTTTCTGCTTCAGGTTCACTCTGTAATAAAGATGGAGATGAAGATGAGTGTGTGTGTGGTTCATGTTTGTGTGTTTGTTGTTGTGGTCATCATGTTTTCATGTCTCCATGTTGCCAGGATTTTCTACGTTTAAGGTTTTGCTCTTTGTATTTTGTGGTCAGCATTCAGTTTTCCCAGTTTAGTTCTGTTAGCTTTCCTCCACTGTCCGTGTGCCTTTTGTTTTGTAATGTTTTTTATCCGCCTATCAAACAGCTCACTTTTTGTTAACATTCAAGTTTTGTTACACTTTCCTTGATGTCTGCATTTTGGGTCCTCTTCACAAATTCATACAGTGCTGCATACTGTGACAGTCCGAGGGAGACTTGGCGGGTAAATTCTCAGTCTTATTCACTTCATGAACATGAACAGTCTCTTCATAGCTCATGCTGCTGTAAGCTGCGGTGGCGACGTGGACGTCGCCTCCTCCTGGAAGCCGTGGTCGTGGAGCCTGGCGCTGCTATGGCTGGAAGCAGCCACCGGTTGCGGTGAGGAAAATGCAGCACTTGTCTGCTGCGGGATGGACATGGAGACAGGCGGGAGACTGAACAACTTTTACTCCCGTAGCTGGCGAAGGGAAAGCAGCATCACAGAGGGGCTGGAATGATTCAACCTGCATGGTGTGGGGGCTGCTGCTTTGGCGGTGAATGTGAAACTCCTATTGTAGCCAAAACAAAGTTCTTGTGATGCTCCAACTAAACGCTCCACAAAAAGCGGAGTGGCTGTAGCTCAGGCTGTAGCTCAGGCTCAGGCAACTGGAAGGTTGGCAGTTCGATCCCAGGCTCCACCAGTTTGCATGCCAAATATCCTTGGGCAAGACACTCTCCAATGACAGTAAGCACTAAACAGTTTAGAAAAATGTGCTTCAATTCTTCAATTCTTTATTTATTTGTCACATGTAGTTATAACTAGTACAACACACAGTGAAATGTTTTTTCCGGCTAAAAAGTACTCCCCCCCGACTGTGCATCTTACCGTGCAAAATATTACGCTGTAATAGTTAAGAGCTATAGTGTACGTATTTACATAAATACAGATGTAAATGATAAAATACAAATAGAAATAAGGATAAAACTCAAAGGAAAATTATATACTGTGTATGGAATTGTCCATCATGTTGTCCGATTTGTGTTTTGATTGAGGAGTCTCACTGTTTGTGGGTAAAAACTCCTCCTGAACCTTTCAGTTCTTGTTTTCAGGCTACAGAGGCGTTTCCCTGACCTCAGTGGCCTGAACAGTTTGTAAGCGGGATGGCTGGAGTCGTTAGTGATCCTGATGGCCCGGGATCTGCACCTTTCAGCGTAGATGTCCTGCAGTGTTGGTAAAGACGTTCCCATGGTGCTTTCAGCTGTGCGCACGACCCTCTGCAGGGCTTTCTGTTGCTGTACTGTGCAGTTCCCGTACCACACCGTGATGTTATTACACAGGTTGCTCTCAATGACCCCGGTGTAGAATCTCCTCTGGATGTTCTTGGAGATCTTAAACCTCTTTAAACGCCTCAGATGATAGAGGCGCTGTCTGCCTTTGCTGATGAGGAAGTCCGTATGTGTGTTCCAATTAAGGTCCTCGTTGATATAAACACCGAGGTATTTAAAATTAGAGACTTTCTCCACAGGGTTTCCATTGATCTGAATTGGGGTGTGAGTTTTCTCGTCTCTCTGTCTCCTAAAATCAATCACCATCTCCTTTGTTTTGCTGATATTCATGGAGAGGTGGTTTGCCACACACCACTTTGCTAATCCGTCCACCTCGCTTCGGTAGGCCCTCTCGTCATTCCCGGAGATGAGTCCTACCACCACTGTGTCGTCAGCGAACTTCACAGCGAACTTGTGTGAGTGGGTGAATGTGTTAGTTGTATAAAATGCTTTGAGTGCTCAGATAGCGTGGAAAAGAGTTCTGAGAACCAGCCCGTTTACCATGAAAACCGACTGTTCCAGTCCTGAGTCACCAGTAGTTACTGGAAACCTCCACCACACACTCCAGCCTGGAATGATAAACAGCTGCTACCAGAAATATTACAAATACACAAGAAGCGTGTCAAGGCATGTGGAAAACACGCTGCACTCACATGGAAACATGCACACAGACATGTGCACTGAAAGCTGTTTTTAATAACAAACCTTTTATATTGTAAATGAGCTCATTTCTAAGAGGAGTGAGGATGACTCTTTCATGACATACATTTTTAATTTCTCTTTGCTATTTGGGCTAATTGGGACCTGGTGAATGTAAAAACAAAGAATGATCTTGATATCCACACATATTAGGACATTCTCTTTAAATTTCGTTAGAACAGTGGCAGTGTAATGTCCTCGTAAGTGGAAATCAGGCTGTTACGGCCCGAGGCCATAAGATGTTTGTGTAGCTGCTGTTTTGTGTTTTTTACTATGTTTAAGAGTCTCTGCAGGTTATTCCTCTCAGGAAGAGCACCGGGCTGCAGATTGGATAAGCATGACCATGTGACCAGGGTTTAAAGCCGCTCTGACAGCTTCCGGGAGAGAGAAGCGAGTGAGTGCGACAGTGAACCGATTTGACAGCAGACTCATACCTGGTCCTGGCTTCCAAATTCATTGTGTAATCCTTTATATGTGTATGCGTGCTCTTTGAGAGCCGCCAAAGGCGTGTGTTTAAGCTGAAGGGGTGAGCCACTTTTTTGTTTTTCTCCTGTTTCTGGGCTAGGAAGCAAGGGGGCTATTATCATTTGTTTGTTTTGTTTTTTCTTAGGATTTAGTTAGTTTTCACTGACAGGACTTGGTTGGTTTTGTTTATTATTTTGGCTTGGGTTCACCCTGGGGTTGTGCTTCTTGTCACTCAATAAAATCACCCTTTTTTTTTACTCATAACCAGTGTTGGTCAAGTTACTTGAAAAAGTAATCAGTAACTAATTACTGATTACTTCCCCCCATAAATAATCCCGTTATTTTACTGATTACTTATTTTCAAAAGTAATTAGTTACTTAGTTACTTTTTAAAAACACGATTTACAACC